TGGTGGTCATGGATCACGGGGCTGAGGTAGGTGTTACTATGGATTTGTTCGGGGCTCCAGCGGTGGCGGGAGATGGAGCGTCGACGAGTAGTGACTTTTCGGCGTGGAGTCGTCTCTACCATGGAGTAATCCGATTCGGAGAAGTCAGACTCCGAATCGGTGAGGAGGTGACGTCCTCTAGGATAGGAGGAATACATGGCGGTTGATTTTCTTTGTGTTTTGTATCTGCTCCGCCTATATCCCGCCTCCCTCTTCTTTGATTATGAGCAATTTGGTGTGTGCGTGGATAGTATAGTAGTAGAGGTCAGATGAATAAGGCTGGTGGGGTGTGACGTCGATAAGTGGGCAGCAAATCAGCCGTGTGGTGTGGCGGAGGTTGGCAACCCTGATCTCGAGCAGAACAAGATGCTGATGCTGCTTAAGTTTCAAGACGTTTTGACGATGGAAGTCAAAGTAGTTAGGAGAAGAAGTAGGTGAGGAATGAACAAAGAGGAAAAAGGAAGAGAAGAGAAGAGGAGAAGAAGAAGTGATCAAATAAGAGCGAAAACAAGAAAAAACCGGCCCCTCGTGCCTCGTAAACGCGGGCGCTTCGCTCAGCTGAAGTGGGGGATTGGCAAAGATTGGGCCGCCTTGGGGATCAGCTGCGGGCGGCGACAATTAAGGATTCAGGTACTTTCCCACTGGTGTCTTCGATCATAGGCAGAGAGTCCTCGAATTTACGCGAAGCTCGACCCCTCTCCCCCCCCTTCATGCGGAAGCGCTGAAGCTACTACTACCGGAGTCGAATTAAAACATCTGTTTATAGAACAATTGACAGGCGATGGGCGGCTATTGACACTGTAGTATTGTGTAGGGTAGGTGGATGGTCTAGCTATAGGAAGTAAAGAGTGAGATTGGTTCATCCCATCACAGCCATTTAAGTGACCAATAGATGGTTAGTCGATGGATGTTGGTAGTAGCTTCTAGCAGTCCGTCCAGAAAGACGGCATCTTCCATTGTGCGAGTGAGTGAGTGAAAGAGAGGGAGAGGTTGGGCGTCTAAAGCGCCACCCACGCCAGTCATCAATCTCTCCACCATCCTGCATCGAACAATTTCAGGTTCTCCTGCTTTATCGATAGATACTTACCTTGTTTGTTAACTAATTAATTTCCACTTGATAGGAGAAGTCCGCTCACTACTACTTACTCACCCAGGGGAAAAAAACCCACGGGTCTAACCGTTGGCGTACCCATGGAACCCTGACGTCCACAAGTTCTTTCAGTGGAGATTATCTATCTACGTTAGTTATCTCCTGACTTCGTAAAGTCTAAAGTAGACACTCCGCTCAGCAGGCATCAAGGATGACCAGGCAGTAGTCAGTCAGTCAGTCAGTCAGTCACTGACATTATTGTGAGTGCGTATTGGCACCTGACCTGAGATCAATGATTAGTTGGCACATTTCGGAGATGGATGACATCCATTCTTGTGTGTACCCTACATATTACTGGGTAGGTATTAAGGGTCTGGTCTAGTCTAGTCTAGTCTGGTCGATTCCTGTCTGTCTTTGGCCCCCACTGACAACTAATACGTACATCCACAACACACAGCCTTGTGGGCCGAGGTTGGACAACACTCACCTTCAGGCATGATTTGAGGGTTGCTACTTACACAGCTGTTTGGTAGGGTGTCTCTCAGTTTTACAGTAATACGATGCTCTGGAGATACTCAGAGAATCAATTCAGAGCTAGTAGCTCCTCTTTCTTCTCCCCCCTCCTTTATGTCGAACGAACGCTTATATCTGATAATTTAAAGTGTTCCGACAAAGAATGTCCTTATCTTCCTGCTATCCTGCTAGGCCTATGTACCCACCCACATATGTAGTCATCCGGAAGCGTTTGATATCCACCATATATTGCAGACACGAGGAGTGAGATCTATTACAGCTTGTAATTAACAGGGGGAGTTAGTCAAACAAGAATAAATAACAATTAGAACCGGACAAATAAACTGGAAAAGCACACAAATGGGAAAGAAACCCCATCCCTAGCCCTCTTCTATCTGCTAATAGGTACGATCGGCTCAAGTACAACTTTATAAAGGTAGCCCCCCCCCCCACCCCCCCGCAAATATCTACCAGCCTTCAGCATCATACCGCCTTCTTTCTTAACTTATGAAGGCATAGTGCTACCTGTCCTTGAGAGCCTTGGCCATCGCCTCCTCCTTCTCCCGTCGTTGTATATACCAAAAGAGCACTGGGTATGCCAAATCAAAGCCGAGATAGAGATAACAGCACCAGAGCATAAAAGGCTCGCCCAGCCATCCAAAAGCCTCTGGCCAGTACTTAATACGGAGGTAAAACTCCGGGATTAGAGTCAACGAGCCCGTAAACCGGAAGAACCTGACTCGAAGTTTAGCCCCTCTTCAACAATCCTATTTTGTCTTCTAGACCCTAGTTATACGTACCACAAATGGAGGGAAAATCCACGCGTGGCTCCCCGAACCAGAAGCTGACTGACATATCCAACGCTCAGGATAACCTGACATACAATTGCGTTCGCGAAGCAAGCCTTCACCATGCCGAGCTCTGACGCAAGACAAATGTGCCCTGCAATTGCCAGTAATATCCCACCGCCATATATCCAAGGCAGATTGCGTTGTATCATTGGGGATCGGTCCCATTCTCTGGACCCATATTTGATTGCCGCGAAGATGACGCCAAAATTGCTTACCACGGCGACTTGGAAGGTAAGACTGACTAGCCAGTGGTCTAGAGAGAATAGAAAACCGAAGGTGATCTCCCATGCGATGTTGAGACACTGGCAAATGAGTGGCATGGCAAAGGACTTGTCCTTGTAAGATCGGTATATCATGCCATAGTACACATAGAGCCAGATAACGTTGGTGTAAGCATTAAGGGCATAGACTGTTGGTGCCCAGACCGCGAATTCTGGGGGAGCAACGGAAAGATCGAAGGCTTCCATTATGCGAAGGCTGAATAAGAAAGTGACAGGGTAGGCTAAAAGAAGTGACTGAGAGGAATAGGGCGGTTATGTTTCCGGACAGGTCTTATGGGCTTTATACCTACATCATAAGAAATATGGAATACTCAACTGACCAATATAGAATAAAATTAGAAGCAAAGACGAAGAATGAGAATTCAGCGAGCTGCACCTTTGTCTGTGATCAAACACATGACAAAACCGACGTATGCGCAAGATAACCCTTTCTAATTGCGCTTGATTGCAAGTAGTAAATTTTAAGACATTACTAGAGCTGCCAAACTTCCAGAAAGCCGTGAGTTCCAGCGGACTGACATACTGGCTGGTCCGATTTCAAAGTGGCACGCTTGAGTTTCTCCAGCCGTCGATTTGGATGCTCGCTTTTCTTCATCAATAGGCCGTCTGGACCGACACATTACAAGTCATAATTAAGCGTGCTCTGCTGCTGCTTCTTGGATACCTGGAAGCCAGACATCCGGCTATGGTCAAGTTCACATTCGCCAGTTCCGGGTTCCGCGTTAGTCATATTGCAGCATACCGTGCTTTAAGCTCCAGGTGGCCCTTGCAGTCCGTTTTAGTGCAGCATAGAGCTCATTACCTCTTGTTAAGGGTAAAACCAGTTTGTCTATTCTGAACACTGGTAGCAAAATTTTACTATCCCGCTCTTGAAACCTCAAGCCTATGCACCTTACCACCCGTTAATATCCAAATGGACAACACAGGAAGAAAACGGTAAAAGGAGAGGAGAGGGGATACAATAAATTGGACATTATAATTAACCAATCCGACCATACTTGTAGGAGCTGGCAGGCTCCGCTCTGCATTCCATGATTGAAGTTTGCTTCGGAAAGCATTGCGAGTCAAGGTAAATCGTTTACTGGTTACGGAGCTATCCCTGGTACGCCACCGCGGATTTATTACTCCGAAGTTATCTCGTGCCCGGGTTCTATCGGCTGACTGTTAGTTGTTTTATTGTCGCATGTAGAGACCGAGATTGCGCTATTTTGCATGAAATTACAAACTTATGAAAGGGAACAAGGGTGCATAGATTGCTCAAGTGTATTTGAAGGCTGCGAAGAGACTTAATATCTACTTCGCCCAAGTCCCTCTTATCCATGGGGATCGGGCTTACAGCTCGGAGTGCGAAGGGGCCCGACATGGGCAGTTTTCTAATCAGGAAAGCACCGGCGATGCATTTAGATATGAGGTTCTCTTTTCGCCCACAGTGAGCTTCTCATCGATAGTTCAGCCACGTACCCCGATATGCATCTGCCTAATTGCTCTAAGCAGGGCACCAATTTGGCGCAGTGGTCTTGCACTAAAGTGTCGCTAATCTCTGAATGGACGTCAAATAGTCGGCTTCTTGGTGGATTGGTACTAGCAAGAGGGCTCGAGGTAGACCAAGCGCTCAGTTTTGAACTGAAAAATTTGACGTGCATTCACCTTCCTGCAGACCAGAATCAACAAGCTCAAAATTACAGAGTAGCCAATCAAGCATCACTGCATCCTCTCCGTTTTTCTCAATCAATCCAAGCTGCACGAGCGCTGATTCAGCGATACAACAAACGATATAAGTGCTTCCCCAGTTACAAACCAACTCGCCTAGGACATCCTTAATCCAAAGAATGTTCCTTTGTACTAATTGAATTTTCTTACGGAGAAGTTGCATACAACAGTAACAGACTTATGAACGATGCACAATCCACTCCGGCTGTTCCGACTCCGCAATGGTCGCTCCGATAATGGAATTCTTATGGAGTGAAGAGAGAAACAAAAGTGGGAGTTGCAACGATTGCCGAATAAATTCCAATCTTAGCTAATTACCTTTCAGTAATTAGATGCCTATGACTCCTGTTGCTCTTATGGAACTGCCTTCAAGCGTCCAGATTGATTAGGATGAGAACACAATAACCATATCACCCGAGAAATTGAGTCATCTTAGGAAGCCTTCCCAATTGTGGCCGTCGCGCAGCTCGCAGTTGATGCAAACCAACCCTGACAAAGAAACTCAAAGCCCAACATCTAATCGGTCCAATCCTACAGAGGGCTGTCAGAACATCGAGCATCATACTCAACACCTTATAGCGAAGGGGGATAGAAAGAATACTCAAGGACAAAAGGAAAAGAAGAAGGCCAAAGAATTGTTACTTACCGCCCAGCAAGCCGTGGGGTAACCATCTTGTCCACAGTGGATATTGGCGGTGCTCTGCACATACGAGGTCAGTTTCCTTAGTAATAACTATATAGACTGGCACAATATACTTACGCCGAGGGCAGTCTGCACGCAATCCTCGGACGCCCAACAGTCACTGGCAGAATGGCACTTCAAGCAGAGTCAGTAACAACTTATGGTCTAGCTTTGCATCTATTGTAAATGTAGATGCAAACATGCAAGACATACCTCAATACCGGCGCCACAACCATGCCAATGATAAGCCCGCGACTCCATACTGTTAGAAACCGGTGCAGGGGAAGCCAGAGCTCTTGCACCGAGACTCAAAGTTGCAGCGAGGAGGAGGAACTGCATTGTGAAGGTGATATTCTTCGTTGTTAGATTATTAGAAGGAGGCGGGGCGATTGGTACTGATAAATCTGGTGACACTTTGAAGTCTGGAATTGAAGCCTCCACAAAGCCAGAGAGGAGGCTTTTATATGCCTGGCGCAGGATTAGGCGTCCAAAGCCCATGCATATCGTGCATACAACCTAGATGCTGACTTTACGAAGGCATAAGAAACCTGACGAATAAGCAGCTCTGATGACCTACATTTCACGAAGACAATGGATATGTCATGTTCTGAGAAGCAACATGACCGATGGTTAGGTTATGCAAGATGCAAGGGAACCCCGGATGAGAAGGTATGTTGGTTCTTTTCTCGTAATGCTGATTCTGGGCGGAAAGCCTTACATCTTCCCTTGCCATGTGTACGTGCGTCATCGCACGTATCGGATCCAGACTGCTCTGCTATCCGTCTGAACTAACTGCTCTCATCACTTAATCAATGCAAGACACGAGTTGAGGTTACAAAGACCGCGTTAGAGGCGGCTACCACAATGATGGGGATCATTGTAGAACCAACTATAATTAGATTAACTTCGGCACGTTACACAGCGCCAACGTCACCACGAGTGGATAGCTGGTTTTTAGATAGACTGTCATGATGTCTCGTCAAATCGTCAATACGGAAAGAAGAATTGGTGTTGCTGTCTCAGACCTACCGCGTAATGCGAGCATATATTACGTGACAGCCAGGGACCAAGCCGACAGTCAACGGCCTTGAGTCCAACGTCAGTTTCAGTACCATTCGGGTCGTAAAGTCAAGCACCAACTGAGACACATTACTCCATGTCGGGCAAGGTTTCAGCGCATCATAGAACTCTTGCATGGGTACAGATCACCCAATTCGCAGATGTCATATCAATGCAGATAGACCCTGCACAGCTGGAATCTGGCGATACACGACCTTGCCCTGAGGCCCGGGTGTCCACCTGTACCACAACGGGAAGGAATAGCCGCATGGCGTGTGCGCCAACACGGTATTACCACGGCTAAGAGGGGTAAGATATAGATAGGAATTAGACATGCAATCAGCACGGTCGAGTAACATTGTTCGCCCGCGGAAGATTCGCACAGCAATGATGCAAGCAAACTCCGAGTTTCACTACGCTTCCGCTTCATTGGTGCCTAGATCAGCCTTGGAAATGATCCCGCCCAGGGCTAGAATTTGCCACTGTGTAATCCGGAGAGATAATCCTGGCTAAACAGCATGACTATGGCTATGTGGTGCTCCAAGTCCCGCCCGGGGTCGTGATGTCTCATTACCACATCATCATATCATCCCATTGTATCCCATGTTATTGACGAGTGGCTTTAGACCCTGAAAAATGCCAGGGAAGAAAAAATAGGCAAGCTGCACCACAGAAGAAAAAAAAAGTTTATAATCTCCGCGGGTGCAGTGCCTACAAGGGAAGGATTGCATGCGAGTGAGATAATGAGCTTGGGTGGTGAGCATCGCGCACCACTTCGATGACATATTGCATTCATAATGTGGAGCGGACGGTCGTTACGCCCATCGTGCCCTGTGAGAGATCGATTGGCGAATCTGTCAGCCCACAAACTGCATGAGATGCGACCTTTTTGACACATCCATTCAGCTGCTCTCTAAGTAGTTCTGCTACTAGGTTGTTTTTCTTTATTACTGAATCAGGTATCTCCCTATGCTCTTCATTGATTTGCACTGTACCCTATCTCTTAACTTATTGATCCATTACTATTCGCTATCATATATTGACCTCGAATCCGTACTTGGATAACAACTGATCTCTCGGTCCCGGGTAGTCACATATAGAATAATATAAGTGAAGGCATCTCCTACAAGTGGTAGATGCGTTATAGGGGAGTTAACAGTAGTAGACAGGCATTTCTTCCTTTTGTCATCTTCAAGGCCAAGTCTCACATTGTCACGCAATATCCAAGTCACGTATTTAGTCAGATCAAAATTGTTATCTACCAAAATAACGATTGAATTTCATAAGAAGATGGCCGCAGAGGGCTTTTAGTATGATTACTGAAGTCTTCATCTGCGGTGCATTGCCGCCACCAAGAAGCTGAAATGTAGAGTAAACCCGGGGAATGTGTATGCCTACAAAGTTTCCTGAGTAGCTCCAGCTTCTCAGCGTTAGGGAGTTGTGGTTTGTATTTGATTATAATACAAGTATTTGATTGTAGGGTAACCAATGTTGTAGCATCCATCAATCTAGTAGATAAAGTCGGCACTATTTGGACCATACAGGCTAATCAGTTCCGTTTATTTGAGAATGGCTGGTGTCAGATCAGCCGACTTAATGAAGTGTTCTCTAAAGAGCCTACCAAGACTATTATCCCTCCAGCTACTAAGGCAACTACTTCAGACAGAAGCCCAGGTAGATTCTGTATATTCAAAACAAACAGACAGCTTCCTATTTGGATTTAGGGGTAAATAATAGTCCAAATACAGCTAGCTGCAGAGTCTGTATGGTCATGTGTAGAATCCAAATACGTACCAACAACAACCGCCTAGTATTCGTGATGCAGTCATTACTTGAAGCGGTCCCCACTGCGGCTGGTAGCCTGATAGAGCTGAGATAGCGTGAAGATATTGTGCTGATTCTCGTGGAGCCATTCGCTGACGGATGGCGAACGGAACTGCGTTTCCACGATCGGACACCCCCACTCCGCATCTTTGGTTTGGAGAACACTTTCCTGGATGGGTGCTCATATCTCCACTTGCTAGATGTCAAGGACAGCCGTCTTCCTCAACAAAATTGGCTGTTTGACAGCCTATGGCCAGCAAGGCAAGAGGACTACGTGGGATCGACCAATACCCCAAGCAATGTTCTGAACAACGCCTTTCTCCGACCTTGCTTTTGCCTGCGCAAACTCGCAAAATGCACCTCTGAATACCTTTCTAACTGGATGAATCCTGGTATCAGATTGGCTAGGCTGATTTAGCAAATACTACTACGTAGGTAGCCAGAAGGCGAGGGCACTAGACGAGACCCTGCTCTCCCTCTTCTGGCTGTGCCTCGCTCCGCAAGCGCCTGATAGCAATACAACCAATATCTTTTCGTTTCATGCTTCATGCTCGGTAGCGGCGCCTCAACATCTTAACTTCCTACAACACCCCGCAGCCTTTTATCGGCATTTCTTTCGGTCAAGAAGATACTCATTGCTACTAGTATTCCTGATCCATACAGAAACATCGGATATATAGAGCTACTATCCGTTTGATACTGCCTTTTCAATCGCTTCAACCTCTACAAACTATGTAAATAATGTAAGTAGGCGGAGGTTGGAAGGAAATAAATTCCGAGTCGGCGATTTACCGCATATACTTGCTCATACCGTTCGGGTGGCGCACTAGTATAATACTGGTATATTAGCACCTTGTCGCTCGAACACAAGATCTACTTTGCAGTTTGCACAGTGGGGTGCCCGATCGTCGAAGGCGCTACATGACTCTGGAGTAGTTTCGCCACGCCAGTGCTTGGACCCTTTTGGGGACTCCAGCAGCTGAACTACTATGGAGCTAAACTTTGGGATGATCAATCTTCATCTTCAAAAGGACAATCTGACTTTAGTGGCGGTAAACTCTTGTACAGTGAGAATAAAGTATGCCCAAAACTAACCCAGGAGAGAACAAGACTCGAGGTACAGATACCTGCCATTCACCCACTTCAAAACGAAACTCCATAACCATCCTCTTTCTATCTATCCATCCTCTCTATACAAACTGTCCATATACAATCAGCCTACTCGCGACCCCTCAACATGTCGAACCTTCTCCGCAACGGACAATGGCTCGTACCCGGCCACAGCTTGAAAAGCACTAATGGCAATACCGAATTCTGCATGCAGAGCGATGAAAAGCTTGCCATTTACTAATACACCCGTTGTATATTCCAAAATACAGCCGTTCAACGGGAGGATACCCAGGGGCTCAAAATGCAAGAGGACGGAAATCTTTGTCCGCAGTAAAGTTTGTATCTTTCCTTTTCCCATTGTTCAGGACACCCTATGTTCAATAGGGTTGGTTGGAAAGGTCCCCTGGGCTAACATGAACTTACTATCTAAAGTACCATCAGTGGGAGGATCATCTGGCACACGGAGACTGCCTACCCCATAGGCGACAACAGTGTTTACTGTATCGTGCAGGACGATGGTAACATCGTACTTTACAAGGCTGGAGGCAGCCCCATCTGGGCCTCGAACACTCAGGCGGTGGCGGTGGAAGTGTGAATACTCGTCACAGGTAGAGAGAGAGAGAGAGAGAGAGGGTAGGGATGCAGGACCTGCGAGACAGGCGCTGACTGTTCCCTAGCTATAAGCAGGTAATTGGGGGTTAAGATAGTGGATATATATTGAAGAACATAAGGACATATACCTTTATACCTTTAGGGAAAATTATATGGCACATCCACTGACCATCGCCAACATGTACACTTAATGACTGCGCGTGTATGAAGCCGAGCAATTAAGGTCGGTGTCGCCGCGTCGCACAGCCAAATCTGACCGTATAGTTCTGATGCTTGGACCAGGAGGATTCATAAAGTTCGGTTTTAGAGCCTGCGGGAGTTCTGTATGTGTCTACTGCTGTATAATGATTGAACGGCCAAATATGGCTGATTCGAAGCTAGACCAATGGTCGAAGACAATTTTTACCTCAAGGATAGTACTTTGCCTTCTACTGGCAAATGAATCACCTTGTGTGTAACCCGTACTAGCACCATCCCTGCGTGTAGAAGGAATTACCTTTGAAAGCATCGCCACGCCGAGCCGTGCGTGGCTCGATTACTGCGCTTATAGGAATGCTGACTCATATAGACCAATTAGCTCTCTAGGTCCTTTGGAGATATCACTGTAAAGTCTCTTCAAAGTTTTATCTAGGGTGGCTCAGATAGCTTGAAGGTAAAACAACTGACCGCTCAATTCTCCGTTCGGGTCTTTTGATCATTGGTGGATTCGTGCAGATCAGCAGCTGGCCAAAGTC